TTTTTTTTTTTTTTTTTTTTTTTTTTTTTAACAGGAGTACATCCTCAGTCTCTCTGCCTTCAACCACTTCCCTACCTCCCTCCACACCACACTCTTCTCACCCACACCCACCTCTCTTCTCATGGTCACCGCCGGCTGCACAAGATCCCGACAACGCCTCTGCCAAGCAGAAATACCTCCTCGATCTTCCTTCATCCGCTTCACTCCCTCCTTCCTACCCCTCTTCCCATCTTCCTTCATCCGCTTCACTCCCTCCTTCCTACCCCGTTTCCCATCTCACCCATAACCACCTCCCTTCTCCCCATCACCCCCAGCGGACAGCAAACAACACGACAAACCAAACGGCGTGGGAGACAATCGACAGGTCGCTGGCCGCGCAAAATGGGAACAACGATACAGCCAAACACAAGTTCATCCTTGGTCTGTTTTCATCCGGCGCTTCACTACGTCCTCCCTACCCCTCTTCACTTCTCATCCATACCCACCTCTCTTCTGCCCGTCACCCCCGACGTAGCAGCGAACGACACTATGAACCAGAAGACATGCAAACAATTGACAGCTCGCTAACCCTCAGTGCGAGATTGCAACAATTATACTGCCCAAGCAGAAATGCCTCCTCAGTGTCTGTTTTCGACTACTGCCCTACCTCCTCCAGACGCCTCTTCTCTTCTCACCGACACCCACCTCTCTTCTCATCATCCCTTTCTGCCCCCATTCTCCATCCCTTTCTCTATCCTCTTCCCATCTCTTTCTCCTTTCTGTCTCCATTCTTATGTCCTCTCTCTCTCTCTCTCCATAGTTTCCTACCTCCTCTCTTCATCTCCTCATCTCTCTCCCCCCTTACCTCCTCTCTTCATCTCCTCATCTCTCTCCCACCTCTAGAGTCCTCTCTCTTCTGTCCCTTCAATCCACAATGAATGTGCTTCTGGAATTGGCTTTATGAATGAACACACTCTGCGAACAGCGCCCAGTCAAATGTCTCTCTCCTTAGCTTTCTACCTCTCCTCTCGTCATCCCTGAGGCTCCCCTCTCTCATCTCTATAGCCATCCTCCCTTCCCTCTCCATCCCTCCATACCTTACGTTTTCTCCCTACCATTCACTGCATCTTTCTTTCTTTGTTTTCTTTTCTTTTCTTTTGAAGGGGCCTACCATTCACTGCATCTTTCTTTCTTTTTTTTCTTTTCTTTTCTTTTGAAGGGGCCTACCATTCACTGCATCTTTCTTTCTTTCTTTTTTTTTCTTTTCTTTTGAAGGGGGGCGGGGGGTGGGGTGAGGAGGGATGGGGCCGGGGAACAGGGCTCCAATCGATTCGTGGGGAGCAGCACGTGCTGGGAACCGGGCCCAGCGTCCCATATGAAATTTATACAAAGAAAAGAATTTTGAGGTACCGGGGCCATTGCCCGGCCCGGACTGAGAAAACACAAAATTTAATCATAGAAAAGACTTAGTCTGAAAAGAAAGACTGAGTTCAAGAAACTGCTAGAGTACTTTTGAGGTACTAACTACACCGGTCCCATTCCGAGACGAGACGATCAATAGTAGTAATACTTCACTCACCAAGTCTATCCAGTAGCCGAAAAAACAAAACCATTTAAAATTTTAAACCATTGCAAGTATTAATTCAAATGTTTTCCGATAGACGGATGGAACGCCCGCCTCCACCCGCACGTCCTCAGAGCAGAACACTGCCTGGCCTCATGCTCCCCCCTGCTAGGTCACCAGGCAGCACAACCCGCCTCAGCTCCGGCCAGCATCGCCCTGCTGGAAGCTTGTGGACGCCCCCTGATTCCTGAATCATGCCCCTCAGACCAGAACTCTACCCTGCCTCGCACTTCCCCCT